GTTAGTGTTGCATGTTAGGTTTTTGCAGATTTCATACATGTCTACAGTGTATTCTGGGTACCTTCTCCCCATTCCTATCAAGCTCCCTTCTTCCTCCCTGTCACTTTCCCAGGTTCATGACTTCTGGATTTATTGTGAGACTCCTTTGTTTACCAGAGCCATCTGTATGGCTGTCTTTGGAGCCTGGTGGGGTCACCAGTAGGAAACAGTTGAAGACAGTAACTCTCCTTTCCATGAATTTATCCCTAGGAAATAGTTCAGCAGTGAGAAGCAGGTGTGTGGGGACCCTCCTCTATCCCCCCACTATGCTGTTGATGGGCCTATTATTATGCAAACCCAGAGTGGGCATCTGGAGTTGTCCATGATGGCAATGGCTGGGTCTGTCCCAGAAGATGGCATCTCTCACCCATCTGCCCATCTTCTGGCTCTGACAGTCCCTTCCCATAGAATCACATCTGTCTCCACAGCTTTGATGGAATCTGTAGGCTCTGCCTCCATAATCGTGATTGAATGGAAATTTGATCCATCTTCAAGAAAAAAATGAGCTACTTTTTGAGAGAACATTCTGCTAAGAATCCAACTTCTGAGGGAGGAAATGGCCCGCTGCTTAGCCCCAAATGGCTTTGTCCATGATTAGATTTCAGTGTGAAAAATTGGGGCAGCCTGTTCAAGGCAAGAAGATGAAAATGGGAAATCACAATGACCTGGGTAATTATAGGTAAGTCACCAAGCACCCCTGAGCCCTGTGTCCCCATGTGGGACTAGAGGAATGCAGAGTATGTGGCTTCCTGGTGCTGACCCATTCAGATTACTCTCTCCCAAGGTCTCAGTCCACTGGGAACATGAGGGCACGACAGAGCAGTGCCAGCCCTGTTCCCACATCCCATGCATGTGCCATCCTGGCTCTGTGGAGTCACATATGACCCTGTCCCTGGTGAAGTAACACCATTCTCGCCACGCCTTCCTGTCTTCCTCTTTGCCTTCTCTTTCTTAACTCTGAGGATCACAAGAGTCAGTGGCAAAGAATGAAACAACAACCAAGTTGCTTTGTCCCTTGTTGGTTGCAAGCTCCAGTGGCAAAGGGCTGGGGCAGTCTGCTGAGGCTTGAGTTTGGGATGCTACTCCTAGGCTTACGTATTTGAACACTTGATTGCTAGCCGGCGACCCTGTTTGGGGAAGTTGTGAAGCCTTTAGGAACCAGAACCTCCAAAAGGAAGTGGGTCCCTGAAGGCGGGGCTTGAGTTTTTATAGGCAGTCCTATCTCCTGCCACTCTCTGCTTCCTGATCACAGATGCCTTGTGATCAACCAGCCACCTGTTCTGCCACCACACCCCCCCTGCCTGCTACCGTGCTGTCCCTCCATGATGGACTGTGTCCCTTGGAAACCGTGAGCCAAATGAACCCTTCCTAAGTTGCTTTTGTCAGGGTATTTTAACATGGACATGAGGAAGGGACTATGACGTAGTTGCACTCCCTGGTGTGTCCCCACACTTAGCTCTGTGCACCTCACAAAGAGAAGTCACACACTGAACAAACACTGCACATAAGTGCTCATATTTGCATGTACATCTGAGTGAATCTTGGAGGGGCATGTAGCTGGACAGCCGCACACAGCCCATCATTCTCCTCTGTGTCCCTGGGCTCTACTGATAAGGAATATTCAGGAATCCCTCACCCCCTCCTCCCCTTCTGTCTGCTCCAAATACAGACATGCTCCTTAGGAAGAAAGAGAAGTGTAAGTGAGAGGCACTTGTTTTTTGGGTTTTTCATTTTGCTTGTGTTTGCTGACAAATCCAACATGTCTGAACATGTCAAGAACTTCAGTCTTCTAGGGGAAGGGACTCTTTTGTTCACCATGTCCATGCTCGCCATGATGGTATTTCCTGTGCCTGCACCAGCAGATCTTTCTCCAGGGGTGTGGACATGTCACCCAACTTTCCGTGGGCATTGGGCTCTTCCTACAGCTGATGGGGCAGTCCCCCACAAACATTCTCATCATTACATGCATTACTTCCTGTCAGTCACCTACTCACGTGATTGATTGCCCACGTGAAAGGGTGTGGCAGACATCGCTGGGACCCTAAGTGGGGTGAAGGTAGGTCCACCAAAGCAAATTGAACAAAGAGGGAAAGGGAAGAGAAGAAAAGAAGAGATGGGGAGGAGGGGAAGGAGGAGGGAAAGGAAGAAGGGGACAAGATGGAAGGAGAGAAGAGGGAGAAGGGGGAGGAAGGAACTGGAGGGGGGGGAAACGGAAGAGTGGGAGAGGACGGCGAGGAAACCAGTTAGCATACTCATGAGCGCACATACTCATCTTACTTTGTAAAGCAGACATTTCAAAGCTGCTGTCGTCACAGTGATGAAATGTACGTTATATTATTTTCAACTACAGCCACGATGCTGGATAAATTTCAAAAGAAAAAGTAATTCCTCCCATTTAACTGAATCTCTGTGCCCTTTGACCAAGGTCTTCCCATACCCAACCCCCAGCCTGGGGTGATCGCCCTTCTGCTCTCAGCTCTACTGAGGTCGACTGTTTTAGGTTCCACACTCAAGTGAGCACCGGCAGTATTTGTCCTTTCTTGTCTTTAAATGTTTTCCACCTCCACTGCATAGTTACCACTGTCAAGACTGTTCCTTTTGTAGCTGAATAGTGTCTCCCTGTTCTGTGTGCAGCCACATTTTCGTCATCCATCCCTCCCTCCTTAGGTGACATCCATAGCTTGCCGCTGTGACTGTCTCTCCTGTTTCAGTTCTGATGCAGATATGCCCAAACTACACTTGTAGAGGCTTAGAATCATGCTGTGTGTGCATGCATGTGTACATGTGTGTGCTTAGGTATATGTGAACACCTGTCCATGTATCCCATAACTGTAATGTTTCAGCAAGCACAATCTTGTGTTCCTCTGTGCCTTAAAAACATTCTGAATAGTTGTGTGTGCTAAATCTTGAATTTGCTGCCGCTGTGACTCATTCCTCCTTATGAGGCATTTGGGAACTTTGCATATTTTTCCATCTTAAGTAAGCTGCCAGGAATGTCTTTCCAGATCAACCTTTGTTATTCAACTTGGAATGAAGTCATTGGGTCAGAGGGCATTTACAATTTAAGCCATACTGTGCTTAGAGTGAGCCGCTCAAGCACAATAGGTTATTTCCAAGAGATGCAAATCCAATTGTCTTTGGGGGGCTGGAAAACGTCTCCCAGGGGTGACCATAGGAGGTGGCTGTGTCTACGGCACTTATTCATCTACACAGAGGTGCACACACCTTTTAAATGTCTCCTTTAAAACAGCCTGAGCACCTTAGCCATCCCCACCCTCCACTCCTCCTCCACTGACTGGAACTACTGTTGGGTTCAGCAGAAATGCCAGCCATGAGCTGATCCAGAGGCAGCACTCAACCTCCAGGCAGCACACAGCTGACCACAGGCTACAGCAACCAGAAAAGAAATGAGTACAAAGACAGATAGGAGAATGTCACAAAGGATGACGTGGAGAATGACAAGCTCAGTCCAGGCATTAAGCTTCCAGTCCTATACACCAGGCACTTTATCAACAGCAGAGTTCTGGCCTCCTTTGGCCCTGAATGTAAAAATTATTGCGATCCATCTTCACAATAAACTCCTGCAGAAGAGAAGTGTGAGTCACCTTCTCTCCACCACCCCAGCACTGTCCCTATGTCCTCTCCACAGAGGGTTCTGCTTACCCTTGTATTACAGCCCTGGCGTCTTTCTTCCATCTGAAGCACCAGTCTGGACTCTTTCTGTTGGCCACACCATGCACCAGTCCTCAAGGCCTGCAACACTTCCTATGATGTAACACGTCGCCAGAGTCTTCCAAGTAGTCATGCTCGCTTACATGTTCCCATGGTGCTGAGCACACACCTGTTGTGCAGTTATCATGACAGTACGTGTGGAGAGTGGCTTTACACATATTCAGAGTATCTCCAGGTACAAGCCGATTGAGGTGGAATATGCCTCACTCATGCCCCATACTAATACTACCCGAGTGAGTAAGTTATCCAGTGACAGCTAATTGGACATGCACATACGTGTGTGCTCACCTGAGTACATGCATAGACATGGCACTCCCTCAAACAATATTTTCCTGAGCTACTCATGGAGAATGGGCTGCTCAGGGTGATTTTCCAAAAATTAACTCTTGCCTGAACCCAGCTCTGCCTCATCACATCAGGATCAGAGTGGAAACCTGTGTCTGTGACGCTAAGGAAGACCAATGACTTCTAAGAAGCCTAAAGACACAGCCCCAGGCTCATATTCCTTCCTGACTGTTGGCAGATGGAACCAAGGAAAAGTCTGAGACCACAGATCAGCCACCACAGCTGCTATGAAATGTCACCTACATACCATCAGGACCTCTGACCTGGGAGATTTGTTTAAACTTAACCTCTTTCTCCTGTTCCTAAAGCCTATGGATAGGTACTGATAGACACTGAGCCCAGGATTCCCTTCTACACCACTTCCCATAGGACAGTCACTGCATCAAGACATCAGAGACTTTTGTCAAGTCAACACAGAAGCTTTCTGTGTTATGGCCACCATCTCACAGCTCAGCTGTGAGCTACCCTGATGGCCATCCTGCGTGTTGTTTCCTCTCTGAATTTTTTCTTGTGGTGTGGTCAAGACACGGCCCTCTTGATTCTGACCCATGGTTTAGCCTCTTCTTAGCTCTCTGAGGGCTTTAGCTGCTAACTGTATCAGCAGAATGTCTCTGAAGACAGGAAGCACTCAGCCTCTCCAGATAACCACAGGAAGTCACTAGATGTGAGTAAGGATGGGGTTCAGGACATGGCAGGATTCTGGGTCCTGCAAGAACAGGGTTGGCTCCCAGAGTGAGAGAGCATCATCTCCCAAGAGTTTTGTAGCACACTTTCTTTTTCTACCCTGAACATGGTTGGATAAATGTGACAACTCAGAGAGAGAACAATGTTCTCAGGGCAGCACAAGCAGTGCTTGATGGAAGAGTGGTCCTCAGACTTTAGAGCACAGTAAAACAAGTTTAATAAGGTGTCTGGCTCAAAACAAATCAATAGCTTTGCTTTGTACCAACACTGACCTGGAGGAAAATGTCACAGGAGGAGAATTCCATGCCCCAACCCAACAACCAAGACAATAATATCCAGGGCCATTTCCCAGGAGGTATGTGAACTCCTTGATGAGCTCTGCACAGCCTAAGAGGTCAGAGAAGACGTATCTTGTTCCTTAAGAACAACAGACATTAAAGTTCCCATGGCCCAGATGTGTCTGTGTTCCCTGTACCAAATCCAGGTCTCATTGTGCTCAGCTGCTCTGGTGTCTGTGTTCCCGTGCCATGGGACTGTGTCCCATCCCTGCTGTGTTCTCATAGACATCCAAGTTTCTGGAACCCAGCAGGGTCTACAAATATTGTCTGAGTTAATGGGTGAAGATGATTAAGATGAGGATGAATCTATGCTGACAATAATTGGACCTCCAGGAAATCCGAGGTTAAAGCTATGGAATGCAAAGAATGGTTTCGAACCCCAGTGGCTCTGAGTGTTTAAATCTTTATACTCAGCCATTGTTCCTGCCCTGGGGTAGAAAGAAGTGGCAGCGAATGCTTCGAAGATTGCTGTGATGATAGAAGGCTCCTCTGACTTTTCTTTAAAGTGGTGCTAGGGTGAATGGGGCTCTTCACAATGTTCTAGAGGCTTCCTCCAGGCATGGTAATGCATCCTGAACTGCAGTGTCGATTAATTGACAATGTAGTGAAAGAGACACTTTTTATCTGAAGCTAAAACAACTCAATGACAGCAGCTCTTCCGGCCTTCTTAGGTTGCTGGAGTCGCAGTGTGATCCCACAGCCCTTCTGGATTAGGAAAGAAGCAGCTACTCAGATTAGAAGCCCCACCACTCAGAGAAGCCCAGAATGTAGTGGGGAGTGAGAAACACACACACAGAGAAAGACAGACAGACAAAGGCACACACACACACACACACACACACACACACACACACACACAGTCAGAGAGACACAGACACAGACAGACAAACAGATGGACAGGCAGACAGACATAGAGTTTTGCATGTACAAAGGGGAGCTCTGAAGCAAATCAGATGATGGGCACAGGAGTCAGGAGGTGGTTGATGAGTTTAGGATCCAGAAGTTGGAGGGCTCCATTAAGTGGATACTGAGTTGTGTCACACGGGAGAAGGGGACCTCCACACGCAGTTCTGAGCAGAGGGTGGGAAGCAGCTGTGGGGGAGGTTTGGGGTTCTGCGGAAAGTCAATTGTGATATGAAGAGATCTCCAGGAGACTTGAGGAGGGCTTGAAACAAGAGGACATCTTGGTGAACCCTGTAAGGAGGTCCCAAGAGGGTGCATCTGATGCGGAGGCCACCCGAACCAGTAGGACAGACCACCCCTGTTGCTCAGAAGCCTGAAGCATGTGACTTGGAACTAACTCATCCACAAGTCAACTAAAAACATGCAAGGAAGGAATATAAATGCTGAATCAGGAAATGTGGCTGTGTGAGCAATGAGGAGAAGGTTTGAGGGAGAGCATGGCCATGCCCTCGGCTGGGCTTGTCAGGACTCTGGAGGGCAAATCTGTAAGCAAAAGACAGAGATAACTTGTTCTCATATACAACAATTAGACCACATTGATTGAACGAGAAAGGGACTTTCTCAGTAACACAAGCCCCCTTGTCACCCACAGTGGAAGTGGAGGCAGGGAAGGTGAGAGTCCATTACAGGAGCCAGTGTCCATGCACGGGTAAGATGCCCTTAGCTTTGTGACGAGCGATGTTAATTGTCAACTCAATGAGCTCTGGAATCACCTGGGGTGTGGGACTCTGAGTATGCTTGTAGGGGATCATCCAGGCCAGCGTTCTCAACCTGTGGGGGTTAAATGACCCTTTCATAGGGGTCGCATACCAAATATTTACATTATGATGCATAGCAGTAACAAAATTAGTTATGAAGTAGCAATGAAAATAATTTTATGGTTGGGGTTCACTACACCACGTGTCACAGTATTAGGAAGGTTGAGAACCACTGCTCTAGACAATGTTAACTGAGGTGAGAAGACCCGTCTTAGATGTAGGCAGAGCCACCCCCTGACAGGACTCCAGGGCTGTATAAAATGGAGGATCTGGTTGAGTGCAAGCAGTAACACTTTCTCTCTTGACTGGATATGATGTAACCAGCTGCCTCACACTGCTGCTCCGCAAATTCTCCGCTAAAAATAAACCCTTTCTTTCTAAGTTGCTTCAGTCAGGGCACTTTCTCACAGCAACAGACACGAAACCAAGGCAGCCCTATTCTTCCCATTACCAGGACCTCTCCCCGCCTCGCAAGCTGATGAAACAACCACGGAGTCTATAAAGGGCCCTGAGCAGCCTGCTTCAGCGTGAAAGTGGTGCTCAAAGGATCCAAAGCCAGGGAGAAATGAGAAACCTAATAGGATTTGGAAGTTCTGAGGAGCACCCGAGTGGTAATATTTAGGACTTCGCTAAACGGAATTTTCTGGCTCCTTGGATTCAGTCATGCAGGCAGAGCGTGGCTTATGCAGTTAAGCACTCCTTAAGTGGGTCTGAAAAGACTCTTGACTTAGAGTTTACTGATTTAAGAGACATTGAAGTGTACTGTCAACACGAGGCTGCGTCGAGTGAGGATGGTGTCCAAAAGATAGAGAGAAAATCTTAGCTGCTATTGCTCTTCCTGTGACACCCAAAGTGGCGCGGATGTTTCTATTATCGTGAAAGTGGGGAGCTAAAATGCTCTCAAGCACAAACTACCAAGTTTAGAGGGGTGCTGATCGATAAAACTGGGGTGCTACGGACACATTCTGCTAAGCCAGTCACTGCTCAGGACAGGGTGGAGATGACAGCCATGATGGATGCCACATCTCTGAACACAGCGTCTTGGTGGAGAGTGGCCTGAAGCCCACTGCCCAGTTTGACACTGTCAGCCGGATCCACTATGGCTCCCAACACAGACATTAGAGGAATAGAGGACGCCACAGACACATGTCTTCCATCTACAGTAAAACCACCTTCTTCTCCAGTCCCACAGCTTCAGGAAGCAAATGGGAGCTTCTGGAAAAGAACCTTGTGTCCCTCGGAGTGTGGTTCTAGAGACAGGAATACAGGATCATTCTTTTTAAATTAAACACACATGCACATGAATACATATGCGTGTATACACACTCAGTGAAAGTTTAGATGTCAGGGAGGCTAAAATAACAGACAGACAACAAACTTGGGGTGGTTAGCCTAGAGACTCGAAGGACAGAGGGTCATATTTCTGTTTGTTTCTCCTCCCTCCCCCTCTCTGTCCCTCTCTGTCCCTTTCTCCTCCTTGCTCTGTGTTTCTGACTCTCCCTCCCTCCTTTTCTGCCCCCTTTTCTTTCTCATGCGTACACACATGAACTCCTAACATACTCATGGACACCAGCTTGACTCGAAAAGTGCACCACAGTCCACATACAAAATACAGCTGAGCTAGAGATGCAAAGTTCCTGCTGCTGCTCTCTTTCGGGACACGGACACAAACGACACAGGAAGCACAGGCCTTACACTCACCCCACAGCTGGCTGCCCCCCAACATGGTGTCCACAAGCCTCAAGTGCCTGCTCAGACTGCGGCATGCATGTGAGGTGTGCTGGGGTGGAAAATCCAGTTAGCAGCGGCTCATATTTGTTATATAGCGAAATAGCGATATTCTGAATGAACTATAATGTGCTACTCAGGCTAAACAAGTCTATCCCGTTTCCCCAGGTGTCCATCGTAATACTCACAATCACACATACGGCCCACGTTCTGTTCCGGTTGGAGGTGTCTAGAAACATTCGGTCCTTTGTGTTGAGACTTCCCTAACTGAGCCAAGTGTGTTTTGTAGGTTTGAGGTCCTCGGAAAGCAGAGCAGGACGAAATCAGCCACCAGCACAGCCACTGGAGGCTCAGTGTGTTTGGTTAGATGATGGGAGTGCACATCCCTTTCCACGGTTCCTTTGTTTCTTAGACACCTCAAGCTGTGACCTAAAGGAAATGGTGAACAATCATTACTCGTTTCCAAGGCGATGGCAACACGTAAGCGTACAGTCCTTTGAGTGGCAGAGCCGTAAACCCGGAAGCCATCAAATCTCTCTATCCTATAACGTGCAAGGATGACTGAAGGTAATGTATTTGCCAACGCCACAGGGCCGTGGGCTCAGACTGTGGGTGCAGCCGCATGTAGCCAGCCGCCTCTCAGATACATCAGCCGGCTGAAGAATCCGCACAGCATTCCCATTTGACACAAGCCCATTTTCCACATGTGACCCATTTTTCTGCGGGAAGTCAATTTAGGGAAGGAAGGCAATGAAAGCCTGGGCTGGGAAATTCATTGCCTTTCACTCAGAATGCTTCAAGTGGGACACGGCTGTGGAAACGCAGTCTTGCTTCTCACAATGCAGGAAGCACCAGGACTGGGGCTGTTCACCTGGCTGTTCACCTGGCCGACGGGAAGACTGGAGAGATGCCGTTTTCAGCGGGAGCTTGTCCTGAAAAGCCTGTGACCTACTGGTTTCTGACTCAGTTATGTAACAGGGCATCCAAAGACACTTAAGAAAGGGCTTGCAAACACAAGCTGTGGCATGCCCTGCCTATGTCCCTCCTGGGACTACCACTCTGGCAGTTTGTTGGGGCCTCAGCAATTCATCTGTCCTCATCTGCTGCCTCCTTCTCTCCTCACAGCTCGCAGCCTCACAACATTGCTGTTTTTGGAGGAGAGGGAACGGCCCTGCCCTTGAGCCTACGGCAGCCGGTTCTCCACCTTCCTAGAGCCTCTTCTCTGAGGTTCCTTCTCTCACCCCAGCAGTGCCTTCTTGATCAAGGCCTAAATTAATACATCGTTGTCCTACCCCCAGTCTGACTTGAAGTTATTAGCACATCCTACTTTCTTTTCGTACAGAATTCTAGACAAAAATCACTTTTCATATGCTTAGCAGTTTATTGTCTGTGTATAAGGGAAATGAAGTGTGTGTGTGTGTGTGAGTGTGTGTGTGTGAGTGTGTGACTGTGTGTGAGTGTGTGTGTGTAACATACACATACTGAGAAAGCTGGGAGAAGAGAGATTAATATTTAGTATCTAAGCAAAGATGTTATACGTAGGATTCCCAAATTCACATAGGGAAGTCCTAATTTCTAGTACCCCAGAATGCATGGCCTTGCTTGGAAAAAGGGTTGCTTCAGATGTAACTCCTGGAGTGGATCCTTCTGGATATGGCTGACGTCCTTATAAGAAAGGGAAAATTGGGAGAGGATACGCTCGATGTTCAAATCACACTTGTATGAATAAAGTTTTTAAATTTAACAACGGAAATCTGGACACAGGCCAAAGTGCCATATGGAGACAAAGAGAGCTGATGAAGGCAAAGATTGGATGATGTGTCTGTAAACCAAGGGATGCTTTGGGTCACCGGCTTCCACCTGGTGTTATCTCCCTCTTGTCCCTTAGAATGAACCAGCCTGGCTTCAACACCTGAGCCCAGACATCAGCCTCCAGAACTGTTGGACAATATTTTTGATCTTGAGGCCTCCCAGCTGTGGGATAGGACTACATCAACCCTGGGAAACTCTTATGAGAAACCCAGTGAGATTCAGGTAACAAAGTCAATGCTTCGTTGTGGCCTGGAGATGCAGTACACTTTCCCTTCTGTCTCCCCTATGCTCCCAGTATGCAGCTAGAAACAGCTCATCACCATTGCTCCAAAGCAGCCAAGCATGGCTGAAACCCTGGGGTAGGCTATGCTGCTGACAGGCCAGCTCCTCCCAATGCCCCAGACAGCTGCCCGAAGTCAGAAGAGCCTGCTCCCTGCACAGTTCACCAAAGGGCACTCCCCAGACTCCTGGGGGTTCCAGAGAGCAAGAATGATGTCATTCAACTTCCCTTTTTAATGTGTGAATGCTTGTATGATGTTGCCAAAGTGACAATGGGAATTTTCCAGAAATAGAGGAACCAGAGGCAACCATTTTGTTCATCCCCAGCAGATATTCCTGAGTGTATCAGGAAGGCAACCAGTGTCACCAAGAAGATCCTCGAGGTCACTGGAGGACCATTATTCATTTTATTGAATCTTGAGTTGTCAGGTCACAGCTTCCCAGTGTTCTCTGCGGCACACACAGTGAGATGGAGGTTAAAGCACTGAGGGCCAGCTGGGATTCCACTCTGGCTCAAGAAAAGCAATTGCACGATTCGTTTTAAACCACAAGCAAAATGGCCTCTTTTTTCTCTTTTCTTCCTTTCTTAACCCTTTTTCCACAGGACAGTGTCATTACTTGAAAGAGGAACTGACATAGCCAGTGTTCTCCCCCCCTTATTTTAAATTTACATTAGAAACAAGCTTGTTTTACATGTTAATCCCAGTTCCCTCTCCCTCCTCTCCTTCCCTGGCTCCTACCAACCTCCTATCCTATCCCCTTTCTGCTCCCTAGGGAAGGTGAGGTCTTCCATGGGGGATCTTCAAAGTCTGTCACATCATTTGGAGCAGGGCCTAGGCCCTCCCCTGTGTGTCTAGGCTGAAAGAGTATCCCTCTATGTGGAATGGGCTGATACATGCATGCACTGGACGAGACGGTGAGAGCCCAGGCCTCCTAACTGACACCCATGTTCAGGCAGTCTGGATTGGTCCTATGCTGGTTTCCCAGCTATCAGTCTGGGGTCCATGAGCTCCCCCTTTGTTCAGGTCAGCTGCTTCTGTGGGTTTCTCCAGCCTGGTCTTGACCCCTTTGCTCATCACTCCTCCCTCTCTGAAACTGGATTCCAGCAGTTCAACTCAGTAGTTAGCTGTGGGTGTCTGCTTCTGCTTCCATAAGCTACTGAATGAAAGCTCTAGGATGGCATATAAGGAAGTCGTCAATCTCATTATCAGAGAAGGGCATTTAAGGTAGCCTCTCCACTATTGCTTAGAGTGTTAGTTGGGGTCAGCCTTTTAGATCTCTGGATATTTCCCTAGTGCCAGATTTCTCTTTAAATCTATAATGGCTCCCTCTATTATGGTATCTCTCATTCTGCTCTCCTCTATTCTTACCCTGACTCAATCTTCCTGCTTCCTCATGTCCTCCTCTCCCCTCCTCTTCTCCCCTTCTCTTTCTCTTAACTCCTTCTCCCCTCCCCCATGCTCCCAATTTGGTTAGGAAATCTTGTCCCTTTGCCCTTCACTGGGGGGACCTAAAAACTTTTTTTTTTCGGGATAGAGTTTCTCTGTATTGCTTTGGAACCTGTTCTGAAACTTGCTCTGTAGACCAGGATGGCCTCGAACTCACAGAGATCTGCATGCCTCTGTCTCTTGAGTGTTGGGTTTAAAGGCGTGAGCCACTAATGCCTGGCCTACAGTCAGTGTTCTTGAAGTGTACATTAAACCTGTCTGCTCAGGGAAAAATATTCAAAGTCTATGTTGTCTAGGACGAGGTTTTATGTAATGTACAAGTCAGAATTTCAGGAAACTTGAATCTGTCACCATGAGTAGGTCACTCTGATTTGTCCATGGCAGGTGATCTGAGTGAGTAGGTGAGTATGGCTTCTAATAGCTTCTACTACTATGTAATAAGATGTGTCCACAATGGCAAGAGTTCTTTAAGTCAGTGCCTAATATTGTCTACCAGGTCTGGACATGACATAATCAGGCATGGACTGAGTTCCATTCCAAGCATTTTATTCCAGAGAGTCACGGTTTTTTTTTTAGAATAATTTATTCTTATTTTATGTGCACTGGTGTCTTGCCTGTGTATATGTCTGTGTGAGGATGTCAGATCTTGGCATTATAGACAGTTGTGAGCCGCCATGTATGTGCTGGGAATTGAATCCAGGTCCTCTGGGAGAACAGTCAGTGTTCTTAACCACTGAGCCATCTCTCGAGCCCGAGTCATGGATCTTAATATAACAATACAAAATATTGACTGCTCTGGCTTCAGGTTCCACATTGCATCCAATCTATAGGAGCCACCACTTGCTGAGTTTCTCTGTACTGAAGAAAACCATCATTATGTTCAATGCATGTGGGTGCACTCTCCAAGACACGCTCATGTGCAGCTGTCGTCACACGTGTCAGTCAAAACAACATATCAGAATGGATTGGATGCAGATACAGACACAAGAACCCAACTGCCTTTTTATGAAGCCAGACGTCAAAAAGATAGAAAAAAAATGTAATGACACCCTGGTCACCAAATTTCCATGAAAATGTTGTGAAGGCTATCATGAAACAGGCTTGTGACTGTTTCAAAGAAACCAATAAATAGGTGTAAATGATTCTCCATGTTTGACACGACCACTATCCTTATATATAACCTATATTAGCAAAGCTGGAGTCGCAGTGGTTTTCCCTGATGTAAAGGGAGCCTGAAACTAAATCAATGTTTCCTTGCAGTTTCTGGGATAAAACACTCAGACTACAAGCAGCATGGGAGTGGAAAGGTGATTTCGGTTTATATGTTACAGTTCATCATTGCGGGAAGTCAGGGCAAGAATTCAACCAGGCGCTTGTCGGGAGACCTGCCTGCTATTCCACACAGCTTTATCCACAACCAAGGAACTCACTCACAGCCAAGGAAGTACAGCAGAATGGAGAAACACTGTTCAGGCTCTTACTCAGCTCGCTTCCTTACATAGCCTAGGTCTACCCGCCCAGGGAATGGTGCCACCCATGGTGGGCTGGGTCCCCCTATGACAACAATCAAGAAAGTCTTGCACAGGCATGCCCCAGGCCAATCTGACCTTGGGAATTCATCAGTCGAGGCCTTCCTCTGATGCGATTTCTGTGTTGTGATAAGCTGACAGCTAAAACTCACTGAAATTCTGCTGAAGAATATTTATCAAAATTGAATATGTACCAGGCTATACACGAGCAAGTCTTGACAAATTATTGTTTTGAAATTGTTTAGAATATGCTCCCGTATCACAGTGGAATTAACTTTAAAATAAAATTGTATTGTTGTGTACTGTGTGTCTCTCTATGAGTGTGTGCCACCTCTGGGGGAGGAGGTACTGGTGAAGGTCAGAAAGGGGTGTCAGAACCCCTAGAACAGAAGTTATGGGCAGCTGTGAGCAGAATAGTGTGGTTTCTGAGGACAGAACTTGGGTCCCCTGGAAGAACAGTGAGTATTGCTCACCACGGAGCCATCTTTACAGCTCCCAAATCAAATTTTAAGAACCATGGCGCAGCCTCAGTGTTTGAAAATGAGCCTCTTCACTTCTGAAGACCTTATGTGTCAAGAAGAAAGGCCAGTGCAATGCAGTCCACAGTTAGAAGGAAATAACAGTGGAAACACAGAGAGACGAA